CTTTTACCCATCCCGCTCTTTCCCTTCCCCCCTATCTTCCTCTGTTTACCTTATTCCCTTCTCCCATCCCCCCCCCTTTTCGTCTGACTATCTCCTTCTCCTTCCATACCTCCCTAATCTCCTCAAGGAGGGCCTAAAGCGTACATCAACACCCACATGTGTGGAGCCGGTAAAGACCCCCCTCCCCCTCTTTTCCAACAACAACAACGCAAACCACACAGTGAAAAAGAAAAACCAGAGCTGCTGCTGGTTGTAGTTTAGTATTTGTACATTATTTTGCACTGGTTTTAGTAACATGGAACAATTGAGTTCTCTATAGTTTTTAAACTTTCCAGCACAATTTTACCTGTGCACCTTGCCCTCCCTCCCCCACCTCGCATGGACGCCCCTCCTCCCCTCCTCCCCTCCCGGACCACGCCGCGCCACCGAGACAGGTGAGGTGCGGCGGCGCCTTTCATCTCGAGATAATCCCTTTTTAATTGGAGGTTCTGCGTGTGAACGCGTTCGGTCTCTCTCCCTCGCCATCTCTCCTCGCACTTCCTCTCTCGCTCTCCTTCTTCCAGTCTCTCTTGCCATCTTTTCTTCCTCCTTTCGTGCAGCACTTCCGCTCGGAGGTTTAGAAGTGTCGTCGCCAGCAGGAGGGCCACACAGTTATAGAAAACTTTGTAAAAACAAAAGTCGACGAAATTTCGGCAATGTAACGTGTTTTCCAGGTCTACATGCATCGAGCAGTTTTCACACTCTTCCGTGAAATTCTCCAATCAGAGACCTTTACTTCGAGTAAAATATTTACCACACCAAGCAATGAGCTAACATTCCTCAGCAGTAGCAGGCCGCCGCCAAGTGTTTGCAAACGGAAGGTCCGGGTTGGGACGGGGGTTTGAGTTTGCACTTCGACGATAAAAGAAGGGATGCGGCCACCGGAAGAACAGTAGCGACGGCAGGGCTGTTGGCCAGCCAACCTTCCCTGGCAAGCAAATAAACCAAAGCAAAGAACAACAAAAAAAAGTTGTTATATGTTATAACATGTAATGAAAAGATCGAAATCGTCTGTCTGTCTGTCTGTCTGTCTGTCTGTCTGTCTGTCTGTCTGTCTGTCTGTCTGTCTGTCTGTCTGTCTGTCTGTCTGTCTGTCTGTCCGTCCGTCCGTCCGTTCGTCCACTGTTCGTCCGTCCATCTGACTCCCTATACTGGAAGCGCAAAGATGTTGATCTGAGATTTTACTGACTTGATATCCCGTCGACAGTGGGGCCAGTCCGGGGCCAGCCCGCTGCACCCGTTTCTTTTTTACAGGAGCTCCTCTTCCAGATGCACAACCATCAGCGGGACAGGAGCTGTCATGAACTTTTTTGTTCCGTCTGCCGCAGCGAGGGAGTGAGTGTCCTTATGATGATGTCAGTAGTACTTGTTCTTGTCGCCGGGCCCGGTGGCGGGTTGCAGGGCATTTCTCCCTCTTTCTCTCTCGCTCTCCAATGCGTGAACCGAACCTGTAATTGCGGCTCGGAGACCGCTGGCGCTGGCCTGACGGAGACTATGGCGCCTGCTTGTTATTTAGTAGCCCCCCCCCTTTTTTCTCCTGTTTTTCTACCTAGGACCCACCTGATGAGCAGATTTCAAATATACTTGAACAGCTCTAGCTACTACATCCCGGCGACTGCTTGTCCGTCTCTCGCTCCCCCGCTGCGCCCAGTCCAGCGGGCCTTCAGATGAAGACATTAGTTGCGGCCGTCCCGCCGTAGAGCCGCGTAGTGCTGTCGATGAGGAAGAGGCGAATAAGTGTCTCCGTAGAAATTGGAGAAAGAGAAGGCTTTGTGAGAGAAATCAAATTTTTCAAAAGGGAATAACTTTTCTCTGCACCTTTAAAATAAATTTGACTCGATAGACTCCCGAAACGTTTCTTTCGAAAGGGCTTACACCTGATATTGACAGGAGCAAAAGTCCACATGGGGTATAAAACAGCCTCACTTTCGATGTTTTCATTCCTTACCGACACCCTGTAATTATGCATTGCAGGTTGTGTGCTTTCGGTCTTATGAGGTGAGGTGTGGTGTGCGCCCCTTCAAAACCATTGTCACGACTACTGGGACTGAGGCGGGGGAGAAGGAGGCAGAGGAAGAGAGAAAGGGGAGAGAGACAGAGAGAGAAAGAGAGAGGCGAATGGGCGTGGGCGAGGGAGCCAGTCGCGCACGCGCCGCCCCTCAGGTATGTCTCTACCGCAGTCCGCGGGGCCAGGCCAGGGCCCCGTCGTCCGTCTGGCGACTGTCTTTTTGTATTAGTACAAAAACAAAGTCCTCCCCCCCCCCCCTCCCTTATATGTCACGTCCCTCCCTTTTCCTCTCTCTCCCTCCCTCTTTTCTTGCTGTTGTTGAACAGAATTACAGCACAACAGGGTGGAGCAGAGAGAACGAGGCGCTCCAACTGGAAGACGGCGATGAAAAGCAAAAGGGTTAACAACCACGCGGCTAACGTTATATGGCTGTAATCAGACACTGTAAACAGCCCGGCCCGGTCTGGACGAGACAGGACGGCCCGGCGCGCCTGGAGACCCCTGGAGGAGGCCCTGGGGGGCCGCCGCGCCTGGAGACGCCGACCCGTTGCTGGCATCAAACGTTTGCTAAAGAACGGAGACAGTTCTCCTGTTCCAGTTCGCTCTGGACAGCCGATCGGACGCCCGCGTTGAAGTTGAAGTCCCCGAGGTGTTCTCCATCTCCAGCCGACGCGAGCGTCTGCCTGGTGCGTAGGCCGACCCGCCGGGCGCGCGTGGCGAGCGGGTTGCCTAGCCAGTCAGTGGCAGGGGCCCCGGGAGAGGAAAGGCAAGATGAGGAGGACAAGATCGCAGGGAAAGGGAGGAGGGGGGTGCTCTCTAGGCTCCAGATCTCCAGATGAACCTCGCGAGCTACAGGCGGCTCTACGAGTCCAAAGTGGTAGAGTCCCACCAGCACCAAGTTAGTGAAGTGCGACCAGTACCACGCTCACGCTGGTAGTAACATGGTTTCCTGACTAGCCTGTACGGACTGCCGGCCTAGCCAAAAGCGAGTGCGAATAATCCTTGCAGCACGGCTATGACGACGACCCTGACCCAGCCAGCCACACACACAGAGGGCTCCACCCGCGGAGGGAGGGAGGGAGGGAGGGGGACAATCCGTCATCGGGGAGCAGGGAGAGCGATGGGGAGAGGAGGGGCGGCGCGGCATCAGCGTGCGATCGGCACACAGGATCACCACCACACACAGCATCCGATTCAGGAAACTAATCAATCGGCCGAGGACCCGGGCACCCGGCCTGGCCAGGGTGCGGCGTACGGGCCGAGCTTCGCGTAACAAACACATCACGGGAAAGAGTGCCCGGCCCTGCCCCTGCTGCCCGGCCCTCCCCGGCCAAAGCCAAACAGCGGGGAGTTTTCAAGAAACAAGCTGAAAGGGAGTTGTAGTAGAGGGAGATGCTGTGGCGGCGGGGCGGCGGGCCGTGGGTCCCCCGCGCCACGCCCCGCCACTCCCCGCCAGGGCAGCCAGCCAGCGACCACCGGCGAGGCGGGGCGAGGCGGCGGGCAGGGCCCGGCAGCAGCCCGATAGGAGGCATGGCATGGGGCCCACCGGGCCCACCGGGCCCAGCCTGGGGCCCCCGGCCGGGCCCGGTCCGTCACCCTGTGTGTGTGGTCCCGGCTCAATGGCGGGCCGGCGGGGCGGGGCCCCCCGCCCCCGGCCCGGCGCGGCGGACCCCCGCCCAGCCGCCAGGCAGGCCGCCAGGCGGGCAGGCAGCCGCCACGGGACGGTTGCTAGGCGACGCCGCGCCCCAGCCAATGGCAGCGCTCGGCTCAGGTCCGTAAGCCCGCCGGTGGCGCGGCTCGACACGGCCCGGCCGGGCGCAGGACCTCCCCGGTGGTCCCCGTCGCCGACCACCACCAGTCAGTCCGGAGAGAGACGCCCCCAGAGCAGGACCCAGGACCGTGCGGGAGGCTGCGCGCCGATAGTCGAGTCCGCGAGAGCGCGAAGTGAACGCGAGTGCAATATTCTGGATTACAGTGTCAGTGTGTGTGTGTGTGTGCGTGATGTGGTGCAGTGCGACGTTGTGAGTGCGGTGTGTGCAGTGCTCCGTCAAGTGTGTTGTCAGTCGGCTAAATGTGCCACCCCGACTGGGGCAGGCGTCAGCCACAAAGTACGTCGACATGGTGGCTGTGCACTCGGCATCTTGTGAGAGAGAGCACCGGAGTAGACCGTGCCCCGCGGCCGCCGTGCCCCCGAAGGCCCCCCCGAAGGCCCCTTCGCACGACTCGGATCTGTTCATAAGGACCAGCTACTCCGATGCTGCCATCGGCCTGGCTCAGCTCGACAAGGTAAACATAACCTCACTCTTTGCGTGGGTTGACGACGACGTCGACGGGGACCATGGAACCATGAACGGGACGTTCGACGGGGACGTCGCGGACGTGCGCGGTCTTTGGGGACGTCGCCGACGTGGAGGCCGCCAGCTCCAGCAGGTCCGCGCCGTGGCGCGCTGTGCCCGCTCCACCGTTGGTCTCGGGTGCGGGGGAGGGAGGGGGAGAGGGAGGCAGCACGCAACACCTGGCTCGGCGCTCAGGCACACCTAACCTCACCCGGGCTCTCACCCTCTGGAGCGCTCTGGAAATTCGCTGGAGACGCCCCTGACTTCTTTTCTTCTATTCTGAAACGGGCTTTGGTTTTCCGTAATTTTCTGTCCAGCTTAGATCATTTATCGAGCTTGTGAACCTCTGCGCTGGTGGGTATAGGTTGGTTACCTGTGGCCGACTTAGCTTTATGTCTTGAAATTTCGACAGCTCGATCCCGTTTTACCTCCGTCTGAATTGCCGTCACACGGCCGTTAATTTTATATTTTCGTAAAATTTTCAAGACTGCACTTATTATGGAGACTTTGGAGAAGCATTGATATTTGCCTTAAGATAATTAAGCAATAAGGACTTTGTCGCCTTGTCATTAGAGTTTTGTAGTAATAGTTCTTGGTCAGCGAGCCTTCAAACACGGAATGAGCACAGGCGAAGAAGACATAACAAGGGCGTACAGGTCGCGAGATGTGGGGCTTATGGTCCACCGCAGATGGGATGCAATATTGCGCGCGCCCTCGCCGCATAGCTCGGCATAGCTGTACTCTGTGTACTGTAAAGGGCGCTGGGTGTGTGTGAACTACATGTCACTAGCCACACTCTCTCTCTCTTTCCTACGCTCCACCTCTCACTCTCCCTCGATCCCTCTCTCTCTCGCTCCGCCGGCGCGCCGCTCACAATGCGTCCGACTCTCTCGCTCCCTCACCGAGTCCACTAATAGAGACATCACAGAGCCGGGCCGGGCGTGGCGAGGGCGAGGCAGCCAGCCTCCCAGACGGGGCTGGCAGACACGCCAGGCGAGCGGAGCGCTCCTGCCCCCCCCCCCCAACCCCTCCCCTTTTCCCCCCTGCGGCTGCGGCCGGCCGGAGCAGTGATGTGCGCCTTGCCGGCTAGTGCTGTCGACACCATACTACCCCGAAAAATACTGTACACACATTCCTCAGAAAATTGCGTCAAATATTTTTCTCGAGAGGAAATTCGGGCGTGGAAAGTTGAAAAATTACGCCGCCCTGAAAACACGGAAGCATTCACTGGAAAAACAAAGGTAGTCGTGCCTTTCCAGGGGTGCTAAAGAAATTTTCAGTTCAGTGCGCGGCGCGGTTTAGTGCCTCTATGAAGACAGTAACTAAAGAGCCCCATAGGGTGCTAAAATTTAGTGCCTTTGGCAGTTTTTTTGCCGTTGCAAAGGCACTGTAGCTCTGAACGCTTTTGGAAAGGCACTGAATCTTTAGTGCATTTTACAGGTAGGATTTACCATCTTTGTTTGTCCAGTGTGTGTGCCCGTTTGGCCCATGTTTTGGGCACAGCTTTGGATATGCGCAAGTTGGTCCTGTGTGAGCGTTCTAACGGCTGATTCCCAATGCCATCCGCTGCATCCGCCCTGCACCCAGCGCTCGCTCCTCCGGGGAGGCCATGATCTCCGACATGTTTGCCCTGGCCCGGGCCGGCCGGCGGGTGGATGTGATGTTACCCTTCTCATTGAGCTGTTTGCTGAGGGCGCGGAGCCGGCCGTGTGTGTGTGTGCGCTGGGGCGTGGCGCGGCGTGGCGTCCGGAGGAGTAGGACCCCCGCGGCCTGTCCGCCGGGGCACAGAGGAGAGGTGGGTGGACTTATAAATGGGCGGTGCGCTTCCTGTCCCATGAGAGGGACCCTAGCCCGGCCCGTAGCCTCGTAAACAAAGCATCACGGGTAAAGGATGACCACCAGCGGAGTGGAGTACCCCTACCCGGCTCGGGCTCGGGCCGCACATGGAGCAGCCCGAGCAGGCCGCATTCGTCTTGTGTCGTCCGTCCCGGTCGCAGTGGCATGCATAAGGAATCGTTCAACGGGGGACGCATGTGGCCGAGCATGTGGCGTTGGTTGTGGTGTAGTGCAGGGGGGGGGGGGTCACGTTTGTCCCCCATGTTGGAAGGTAAGCTGCCCACGCTCTCCTCTTCGCCCTCGTGACCTTTCGATTCACAATCAATCACGATATACCGAGTCTTTATCAAACACAGCACAGGGCGTCGGTGTTACGGCTTGGGCGTTATGGCATCACTCTGCTACAGCCAGCCTTTGCCGTAGGTGGAATGGGTTGCGCACGCACGCACGTTTGGTGGGGTGGGGCTGGAGGTGGTTGGTGTTCCGAGGTGGCCTCGCACCCCCACAAACAGCAGCGGGGTGCCCGTCCTCCGCGCGCCTGCTTGTTGCTGGGGACGCCTATGAACGCCGCTCGCCGTTGGGGATCCTGAGGCCCCCGAATGGAGGCAAAGTCACGTTCGCGGTGCCGCCGTCGCGGAGGGGGTGCCTTCGGCGGCGCACTAGCGCTCGCCTCACGCACGATCCCTGCGGTCCCCGCGGCGGCGGAAATGCAAAACAAATTCATCACCGTGCACGTGACCTGGCCGGGGGGGCGTATACAACAGTGAGGCCGCCAAACAATCATCGTCCGTCGTCGTCGTCGTCGTCGTCGTCGGATGGTAATGATGCCTGTCTGTCATCCGCCGAGTCTTGCCCCCC